AGCCATTTTGTTGTTCACATGTATTTTTGCAGTGGAAAGGAAAGGAGGTGTGGAAAGGTAGAATCACTGTATAATTCATTAAACTAGTTAAGTTTAATGGTAAAGGAAGTGGAAATGGGGAACTAACATAAACTCTTATATTATCTGTCAATTTCACATGCCTGTTACTCTTACAGTACTATTGGAAGGGAGGTGATTGGAATTTAGTTATTTTGCTATGAGATTTCTTGATAAACATGCACAAATGAGCTTCCCCTCGTATTAAGATCAGGTAAAATTCTGATCAAATGCCTCCAAAAAATCTCCAGTTTCTTAGAAAAAAACATTATTGAGCAGGGGTGGTAATCCAGGAATGAGCTGGAAAGTATCTCACTGATATAACTAAAAGACAACACAAGTAGCACTTTTTTAAAAAAGAAAGAAAATGATAAAAAATATTTTTTATAAAAAATAAAATAACTTTGTTTTAGATACTAAACTGCAGGCCTGTGCCTGTGCTCTAAGTTGCTTCAGTCGTGTCTGATTCTTCATGACCCTGTGGACCGTAGCCCACCTTTGTTCAAGGGATTCTCCAGGCAAGAATACTGGAGTGGGTTGCCATGCCTCGTCCCAGGGGATCTTCCTGACCTATGAATTGAACCTGAGTCTCTAATGTCTCCTGCATTGGCAGACAGGTTCTTTACCACTAGTGCCACAAACTGCAGACATACTGGTTTTTAAACTCTTATATCTATTTGAATTTACTAGATTATGGAATTTGGCAATGGATTCACCCCCTGAAAAATCTGCTCTAACTTCAAAAAGCTATGCCTTGGGCACTTACCTGGTGGTTCAGCAGTTTAACACTTCACCCTAACATTTCAGGGAGTGCTGATTCCTTAAATGGGTTGAATGTAGGGGTGAATTGGTGGGTTGAGGAGGAAGAGTAGCTTAAGTGGTCTGCCCGCCCCTTTGATGGTACTGTGTGCAGGGATCATATGCAGTACCATGCTTCTGTTCCTGGCACCTTAGAAATGGCCGTTGATCTACAGCCTTTTTGTATCTTATTGTAAGTAATGACCCCAACGGCGCATGCGTGCCATTATTTTTAGTCCCTTTGAGTTTCTTTGTACTTTCTTGCTGGAGGATTCGTTTGTTCAGGTTCAGGCACCACAGTAAAGGGTCACAGGTCCCAGTTTATCTGACCGAAGACAGGCAGTCCAGCATAATTGGAGCACAGTGAAGGACTAGGAAAGGAATCTCAGATAAGGTCAGAGGAGGCAAGGTCTAGAACCCAGACTTCGCGTCATCTGCGGCTTTGTAATTCATCAGAGTCTGAATTCATTATAAGTTCAGTAGGAAGGCATTGATAATTCTAAACAGGGAAGTTATATATACCTTTAAAAGACCACTGAATGAATGGAAAGATGGATGAATGAATGAGGCCCTTCTGAGGTCATCTAGGAGGAAGTGGAGAATAGAAACTAATAAAAACACACATTGTTTCAAACCCTTAAAACAGGGGTCCCCAACCTTTCTGACACCAGGGACCAGTTTCATGGAAAGCAATTTTTCCATGAACCAGGGAATGGGGGGTGGTTTAGGGGTAATTCAAGTGTATTACATTTACTGTGCACTCTATTTCTATTATTACATCAGCTCCACCTCAGATTATCAGGCCTAAAATACTAGAGATTGGGGGTCCCTGCCTTAAATTGTATGTTGCCCACAGAAATTTCTTAGACACTGACTGGAATATTTCTTTGTATCATGCTGGGAGTATCTTGCTGGAAGTATCTCCTAGTGCTAACTTACTTTCTGAGATTTATCACATAAACTCTTTATGAGTCTCTTTAAAAAAGCTAATATTGGGAATAACAAATTTATAACATAGCGTTAAAAGTATTGACTTTAACGAGAGCATGGGAAGGAAAAATTCATATTGTTATAAATATTTTAGAAGTATTTAGGGGAACACATTGGTGTTTATAAAATATAAAAAAGCAGCCCCGGCTGGTTAGATTCTACATTCATATAGTTGTTGCTTCAAATAAAGAGGGGTCTGATTGGGAAGTGACAAGCTGTTAATAAATGAATACACTGGATACAACGGAAGGAGCTATCAACGGAGTATTTACTCACTCTATGGAATTTACTGTCTCGAGGGATTAAATCTCATGATTTCTTTCTTTATTCTTTGTAAAGACCATGGGAATCATGACAGAATTAAATTTTAGTGCCTGTTTTAACTTTTGATGTTTTATGATGCACATAAGCTTTTAAGCTTGCTTCAAACATTCGAAAATCTTCCAGGGGGGAAAAGGACATCCTGTTACATGGAGGTGGGAAAATCTGATTTTTTTTTTTCCTTTCAAAATCCCTGTAAATTAGGTACTATTTCTATTTCCCAAAGAAGAAACTGAGTTTCAAAGAAGAAACTGACTCATCTAAGTGTGTTAGCTGGTAATTGACAAAGGCATCATTTGAACCCAGACCTGTGGTTCCAAGGCTGGGATCATTGATAGCTCCCCAACAAGTTGATCTTTGGTGCTAATTTAAAAATTGCAGAGGGACTTCCCTGGCTCTCCAGTGGTTAAGACATCACCTTCCAGTGTAGGAGGTGTGGGTTCGATCCCTGTTCAGGGAACTAAGATCCCATGTGACTCGTAGTTAAAAAACCAAAACATAAAAGGCATGCGGTATTGTAAAAAGTTTGATAAAGAGTTTTAAAATGGTCCACATAAAAAAAGAAATCTTTAAATAAAATAGAAATAAATAATTAAAAGAAAATAGATGCTGGGATGCACATGTGTGAGCTGATTTGAGAAACCATTCTTGATTTCAGCATGTTAAACACTCTCTTACTGTCATTAAAGTCTTCTCACCTAATTACTAGTTATTTTTTTAAGGTATCAGAGGTGTATCTTGCTAGAGAAGATCATCACCAGTAAGATGAGACTTGAGATAATTCTAGAAAGTGTTCATGCCTGAAATTTGACCTGCTTCTGGCATGTGTGACACATCAACTTGACAAATTTTAATGATTCTATTGACTATGGGAAATTCCATTAACATTTTGTTAACATTTATATTATCTTTAAGAAATAAATAAGAAGTAAACACATAAAATTTATATAATGTTTTATAATTTAAAAATCCTGCTGCATGTTTTGTGCCTGGCATTTTTTATTCAATGTAAAATGATGACCATTTCTCATTATTAAAATGTTTAAAACATTATTTTTAATCACAGCAAAATATACAATACCATCACATATCTGTATGATGATTTATTTATTGATTCTGTGCTTCCCTGGTATAGGTATTCTAGGGCTTCCCTGGTAGCTCAGCTGGTAAAGAATCTGCCTGCAATGCAGGAGACCTGGGTTTGATCCCTGGGTTGGGAAGATCCCCTGGAGAAGGGAAAGTCTACCCACTCCAGTATTCTGGCCTAAGGAATTCCATGGGCTGTATTGTACATGGGATCGAAAAGAGTCGGACACAACTGAGCAACTTTCACATAGTAGGAAAATTTCCTTTTTTTTTTCAATTTTTTCCAATAATAACAGCACTGAAATAAATCTCCTGATATACAAATCTTTAAAAAAGTGAAATTTCTTATCCTAGACATAACAATGCCTGAGAATGTTGGGAAATGGAGGTGGAAGAGGGTGTAGAAAATAGACAGGTGCCCCCCATCTCTCCTTTGAGTTTAAGGTTGACCTTAATTAATTTTTAAATTATCTGGAAAGAGTTTATCATTGAGTCATAATCAATTCAGATATTCTAAGACATGTTCATATTTCTAATGTATGGAGAAAAATTACACTTATTCCTATTTCTATGCAATCTGTAGATTTAATGTCCCAGACTCTGAGTCCATGTTATCGACAAAAAATTCAGATATTGATACAAATCCCAACAAGCTAACTAGATATAAATTTCTGCAAAGGCCTTGAATTAGCATTCAGTTCAGTTCAGTTCAGTCACTCAGTCATGTCCAACTCTTTGCGACCCCATGAACCGCAGCATGCCAGGCCTCCCTGTCCATCACCAACTCCCAGAGTCCACCCAAACCCATGCCCATTGGGTCGGTGTTGCCATCCAACCATCTCATCCTCTGTTGTCCCCTTCTCCTCCTGCCTCCAATCCCTCCCAGCATCAGGGTCTTTTCCATTGAGTCAACTCTTTGCATGAGGTGGCCAAAGTATTGGAGTTTCAACTTCAGCATCAGTTCTTCCAATGAACATTCAGGACTGATCTCCTTTAGGACTGGTTGGATCTCCTTGAAGTCCAAGGGACTCTCAAGAGTCTTCTCCAACACCACAGTTCAAAAGCATCAATTCTTCAGCGCTCAGCTTTCTTCACAGTCCAACTCTCACATCCATACATGACCACTGGAAAAACCATAGCCTTCACTAGGCAGACCTTTGTTGGCAAAGTAATGTCTCTGCTTTTTAATATGCTATCTAGGTTGGTCATCACTTTCCTTCCAAGGAGTAAGCGTCTTTTAATTTCATGTCTGCAATCACCATCTGCAGTGATTTTGGAGTGATTTTGAATTAGCATACAAGAGAGCTAATCCAAAAAAAAAAAAAAAAAAGAGCTAATCCCAACCCTGTATAAGCGCACATGAAATTCAAGGTAGAAAGTTAAGTTAAAAATAATTGCTTTTCTGGTAAAATGCAGTAGATAAGAAAAAAAGAAAGAAAGAAAAAAGAATCTTGCATCTGATCCTGGTCGTGCCAAAAATTGCAGCTTAATTTCTGACCAGGTATTTAACATCTCTGAAAGCATTATCTGCTTTCAGATATAATCAGAGCCTTGCATCACTTCCCTTCCAGTCCTAAGACTGTGAGTTATTATTCTTCCCTACCTTCTGTAACCTTGTTCTGAAACCTTCCTTACAGGACACGCAGTGAGTAACGTCTGTTCTGTTAGTGATCATCCAGGTTGAATGAGATCCTTGATTTTAAGAACTTAGGGGAAATCTTTTAACATTTTTTCTCACTCTTTTTTAGGATTATCTGGGAGCTTGCATTGTCCTCACTGCATCTATTGCATCCATTAGTGGGTCTTCCAATTCTGGATTGGTGGGCTTAGGTCTTCTATATGCACTTACGGTAAGTATGGATGAAAACCTCTCTCTCTCTCTCTCTCTGTACCGCACTTGAGGTACTTTCTGTAGTCATCATCAACTCTTATTCATGGATGTTAGAGGTCTAGTTAGAAATTCATAACAAGATGATAGCCTGCAAATAATAGTAGATTTGGGCCTAAACCCGGCGTTTTAGGATGGCATGGATTCATTTCTGACATTTTGAACCAATTTTTAGGAACTCCTGAAACACTGTGGTCAGAGTTCTCCCAAGGTTGTTTGAGATTCTTGTCCTGAGTTGCTCACCACCCATGTAGGAACACTAACTCCCGTGGGGGCCTCCCTGATAGCTCAGCTGGTAAAGAATCTGCCTGCCATGCAGGAGACTCCGGTTTGATTCCTGGGTCAGGGAGATCCGTTGAAGAAGGGATAGGCTACCCACTCCAGCATTCTTGGGCTTCCCTTGTGGCTCAGCTGGTAAAGAATCCGCCTGCAATGCAGGAGACCTGGGTTCAATCCCTGGGTTGGGAAGAGCCCCTGGAGAAGGGAAAGGCTACTACCCACTCCAGTATTCTGGCTTGGAGAACTCTATGGATTGTATAGTTCATGGGGTCGCAAAGAGTTGGACACAACTGACTTTCACTTCACTTTCACTTCAACTCCCATGTGAATATACATGAGGTAAGTGGAAGCATACAACTATCCACTGGGCAAGGAAGTCAGGACAGTCCACAAATCATGATATCAGAGGACCATTGAAGAAGGGCAGATGCCTCCTTTGCCAGCGTTGGCACATGGCATCCTCTCTGATCTCTGATACCCTGTAGTGTGTATGAACTGTACCCACGTGAGCAGTCCCAGTCATCCTATCCTCTGATATCCAGTGTTCACAAAAACTGTTACTTTATTTGCTATATGCTCATTGTTTTTGTCACCCGACACAGATAACCAATTATTTGAATTGGGTTGTGAGGAACTTGGCCGATGTGGAGGTCCAGATGGGCGCAGTGAAGAAAGTGAACAGTTTCCTGACTATGGAGTCTGAGAACTATGAAGGCACCATGGGTATTGTTCTGAATATTATGGTGTTTCACCTAAATAGTTACTTAAGAATATTAGTTGTGTGTCAGGCACATTGTCATTTTTGCTTTTGTTTTCCATTTCAATAGCCAGAGAATGCTCTCTCATCTTGACTTTGCCTGATAAGGTCCAACTGCATCTGAAAAAGATGTGATTATTTAGGCCTGAAAAAATCTTAGATACAACCAGAGTCCAAATAGATGTACCTAGTAATATTTAGAGAGAAATTATAAAGACACTTGCTTCCCAGGTGGCATAGTGGTAAAGAATCCGCCTGCCAATGCAGAAGCCTCTGGAGGCTTGGGTTCAATCCCTGGGTCAGGAAGATTCCCTTGAGAAGGAACTGGCAACCCACTCCAGTATTCTTGCCTGGAAAATCCCATGGACAGAGGAGTCTAACAAGCTGCAATCCACGGGGTCACAAAGAGTCAGTCACGAATAAGCACACATGCAATGGCATAAAGATATTTGAACTTTATTATATTAATTACCAACCTCAACTATGAACTGTTGTATTCTTTTTCTCAAGAGCTTTTTAATTTAGATGCCAAGGAGTTTAGATCTTAAAATAACCAAGATTCTTAGCCTTGCTAGGATAAAACTGGCAGGAAATTCAATACTGAGGGCAGAATAATCTTCCTTAACTGCAAATCTCATGCTTAATATGCATTCTGTTGCCTAAATCCTTCAATACCTCTTCAGCTCTTCAAGGACATGCAACCATTCATTAGTCAATCCTTCCTCACCTATCTAGTCTCATCTTTCATCATCCACCTACATACTTTTCACTCTGGCCATATCAACATGCCATGCTTTCTTTTTATCTTTGTTCTTCTCTCTCTCTCTCTCTCTCTACATATATATATAAACAAATATATATATATGAAACAAATTTCCCCACCTCTTATCCTTTAAGATTCATCTCAGGCACCATCTCCTCTTGACACCCTGCTGGAACTCCCGGGCTGCCACCATCTCTTCTCCCAGAGCACCTCGGCTCAGCCTCCGTCATGGGATTCTGCATGCAGTCCTATGGGGCTAACTCACATGCATGCGGTCCCCTGGGAGGCACTGATCACCTCGAGGCATGTCTTCCCTCTCAGCTCCCTTCATAACCCCTCTCACATCTGAATCACTCAAATGTTTGAGGACTAGCTGACTGAACAAATGAATTCATTGACAGATGAACCACCGGGAATAGAGTTGAGCAATAAAGTGCTGAGAGACGTGATGCCCGTTAATGCTCCAAGACAAACACACAAAAACTATTTTTAAAGCTCTTAATCAAGAGACCTTTACTCTGAATGTAATGTTAATTAAAAGAAAAAAAACTGTATGGGAATTCCCTAGTGGGCCAGTGGTTAGAGCTCAATGCTCTCACTGCCAAGGGCCAGGGTTCAATCCCTGTTTGGGGACCTAAGATCTTGCAAGCCACGCAATGCAGCCAAAATCCAAATAAATAAATATAATCTTTTAATTAAAGAAATTTTAAACCCAGAAGTAGGCTTAGTATGACCTTAAATTTAGAAAACAATTATTATGTGTGTATGTATAAATGTATATAAGTATGTGTGCTTTTCTTTCTACCTCTTTCTGTGTCTCTCTGTCTCTGTCTCTTCTTCTACTCCATCTCCATCCTCCAGATCCTTCTCAAGTTCCAGAACATTGGCCTCAGGAGGGGGAGATCAAGATTCATGATCTGTGTGTCAGATATGAAAATAACCTAAAGCCTGTTCTTAAGCATGTAAAGGCTTACATCAAACCTGGGCAGAAGGTATGGAGTTTACTGTCATTTGATTTAATTCATACAGAACCTCAGATGGAACCACCCCATTACGACTTGAGCTCCTTAGACATGCCAGTCAAGGATCTTCTCACTGGGCTGCCATTATATTCCTTACACTTTATAGGTCAAATTATGTGCATAAAAGAGAAAAGGGAGAGAGTGGATCCAGATAAAGTATACGTTCTCCAAACTGTATTGCCATTCATTCATCTCCCATGACGATCAGAAAAGTGAAAAATAGGCATGTTTTTCAAAATTTCTAGCTTTTGGCTCATGCCCATTCCAGATGTCCCCTTGAGAACCTTGGTGTTTTTACTAGCTCTGGCCCCACAATGATTTATTTTAGTTATTGTAAAAAGATCAAGTGTGCAGAAAAATGGACTCATTTTACTTTTTGTTACATAATAAAATCATCACTTCTGAGACAAAGTGGAGTACTTGTTTATTAGGCCAATGATATACTAAATGGAAAAATGAAGCCACAGAGGTAAAAAACACAACCATATAGAATTAAAAAAGAGTCCTAGTGGAATCATTGAAGATTTGAAGACCCTGTGTTATCTTAATAATGATAACTCAGAAGGGAGACCTGAGAAGAGAACGACAATTTTAATGTAACTGTTTAAATAGAGTTGCAGTTTTATCATGATGTCTTATCTAAGTTAAAAATGGTTTGCCTACTTTTTTATTTTGTCTGAGTCCTCTTCTCTCTGAGTGACAGTTGCTTTCTTAGGTGGGCATATGTGGTCGCACTGGCAGTGGGAAGTCATCATTATCTCTGGCTTTCTTCAGAATGGTGGATATATTTGATGGTGAGTTACTAACTAAACTTCTTTATTAGCCATGTGATACTCTCCCTTAAAAAAAAGCAACATCTACTAACCTAGTCCTGCAATAATATATTTATTATTTTATTTATTTATTATATTATTTATATATAAAGTTATATATTTCTAAATATATTTACATGTTTATTATTATATATAATTATATATATATATTATAAAAATATATTTAGAATGACTTCAGTATTCTTGCCTGGAAAAGCCCATGGACAGAGGAACCTGGTGGGCTACAATCTATGGGGTTACAAAGAGTCTGTCATGACTGAGCACGCAATACTACTGCTATAACTACTATTGTGTCCTACAGTCCATGATTTGAGGCAGGTATTCCAGATAAATAGGCTTCCTGGGTGGCTCAGTGGCAAAGAATCTTCCTGCCAATTCAAGGAGATGCAAGAGACATGGGTTTGATCCCTGATCCCCTGGAGGAGGAAATGGCAACCCACTCCAGTATTTTTGCCTGGAGAATCCCATGGGCAGAGGAGCTTGGCAGGCTGTAGTCTGCAGGGTCACAAAGAGTTGGACACAAATGAGCATGCACACATCCCAGATAAACAGTTTAGGAGTAAAGAAAAAAAAAAGAACTGGAGAAATAAAATAATTAGCCCTAAACTCAGCTCTAGAAATTATTGTTAAAGAATTTTGTTAAATTAGTAAAATAAAAACAAGGCCACTCATTATGAAGAGCAGCAGATAGAAGTGGCATTTCAAGAAGGAAGAGAGAAAAAGACTGTCTAGTTTCCTGCAAACTAAAAGCACATTTCTTTCCATTAAAGGAAAAAAAGGAGATAAATAATCTGCATTTTAATTTTAGTGCATGACTCTTATTATCCTCTTCTTAATAACATGGTTTAATGATGTTGGATGTTTTGGGAGGAGGTGGCCATTGCTAATAAAGTGCCAAGGACATGTTGACAATATACAAAAATATTTATTCATCTGCAAAATTATTAATAGTATCATACATGGAAGTAATCTAACATTTGTTTTAGAAAAAATATGTCACATTATTTAGTCTATTAAGTGACCTATAAATAGGCCAGCACATATGCCATCTTGACTGAAAGGGGAGCCATCAACTCAATAATTGCTTAAATATTATTATCTCTAATCATTGTGATAATAGTGATAGTACTTCACATTTTTATTATACTTGACAGGTTACATTATTTAATCTACACAACAACTCAGTGAAATAAAGAGGTCAGTTTATGAACAATGAAGTTGAACTGTGGTCATTGCAGGGTTTGGGACTTAGATTTAGCAAAGAGATAGCTATCCACCTCTAGATGAGCAGCTCACTCTTTCCATGGCTGGTAATGATACACAGATCCTTTAAGGATTTTCTGTGGGATTTGCATTATAAGCCAATTACAAGATCCAAGACAATTGATTGAAACTTTTCATTAAAAAACTGTCACTATGATGGAACATATTAGATTAGCCATAGTCTCATGAGTTCAGAAACATCATTTCAGCCCCCAAGAGGACTATGATGACTGATTATCTTTTTAATACCATTAGGCAATTGAGATTTTAATAGATAATATATTACACCCAGAAGAAAGTTTAAGCTAATCACCTTACCTGCTCTTGAATCTAAATCCAGCAGAAAAGGGACTCTAATTGCCATCCTTCTCTTAGCATGCTTATCTCATAGAGCAATATTATCTTTGCACAAAACAAGATTATAAATCAATCAAGGTAAGGAAAAGTCATCAAGATTGCACACGTTCATGTACAGTGAAATTTACCAAGAGTTGATACCTATAGAATTTACGATAGAATTTGCTTTCTTACTTGTACTGTACTGTACTCCTCAATCAATAAATGAGCAAAGAGACTTCTCTGATGGTGGTCTAGTGGTTAGAAGTAAACGTCCTCACCGTTGTGGCTCAGGTTTGTTTCCTGGTCAGGGAAGCCTTTCTTCTTGGGGCTGCCCTGGTGGCTCAGATGGTAAAGAATCTGCCTGCAATGTCGGAGACCCAGGTTCGATCCCTGGATCAGGAAGATCCCCTGGAGAAGGGAATAGCAACCCACTCCAGTATTCTTGCCTGGAGAATTCCATGGACAGAGGAGGCTGGCAGGCCTCCTGCAAAGATTTGCAAAGAGGTGGACACGACTGAGCAATTAACATGGACAGTCCAGTGGTTAAGCATCTGAGCTTCCATTACAGAGGGCACAGATTCCGTCCCTAGTCAGGAAACTGAGATCCTGAATGTCACTTGGTGTGGCCAAAAAATAAATGAAAACAAATATTAAAAATAAATAAATATAACACAATATTGCTAATTAGCTATCCCCCACTACAAAGTAAAAAGATTTTTAAAATATATAAGTAAATAAATGAGTGAATAAGACAGACAAAAATGCCCATCTTCAATAACCTGATATTCTAGTTTGGGGAGAGTGCTATGCTTAGTCACTCAGTTGTGTCCGACTCTTTGTGACCCCATGGACTGTAGCCTGCCAGGCTTCTCTGTCCATGGGGATTCTCCAGGCAAGAATACTGGAGTGGGTTGCCGTGCCCTCCTCCAGGGGATCTTCCCAACCCAGGGATCAAACCCAGGTCTCCTGCATTACAGGTGGATTCTTTACTGTCTGAGCCACACGATTAAAAACATCTATGGTGGTGGTTTAGTCGCTAAGTCGTGTCCAACTCTTTGCAACCCCATGGACTGTAGCCTGCCAGGCTCCTCTGTCCAGGGGATTTTCCAGATGAGAATGCTGGAGTGGGTTGCCATTTCATTCTCCAGGGGATCTTCCTGATCCAGGGATTGAACCTGGCTCTCCTGCATTGCAGGCGGATTCTTGACCAACTGAGCTACCAGGGAAGCCCCCAAAAGATTAATAAATGTGTATAATAGAACATCCTATGAAGGAAAATAAAGCTGGGAACAGTATAAAGGAATACTGTAAAGAAGACCACTGAGGGAAAAGAGTACCTTTGGTTCATATGAACCATGTAAACAGTAAAAAGTAGAAATCCCTTTAGGAGAAAATATAATACATAAGAAAGAAAATATCACCAAAATGCCTGTTTTTCTTAGAGACATGTCATGATGTTTTTAATACTTACATGGAAAGCATCATCTTGTGAATTTCAATCCTGAACTAGGAAAGCACTTCCAATTGGTAAACAAATATTCTTTTACTTGTGGTTTTATTACAGGCCTGCCATTTTTGTTTTTCTTTAACAGGAAAGATTGTCATTGATGGGATAGACATTTCCAAACTGCCACTGCACACACTACGTTCTAGGCTTTCAATCATTCTGCAGGATCCCATACTCTTCAGTGGTTCTATTCGGTAGGTCATGCATTCAACAGAAACTCATGTGCCTCAGTATTTACCCTTTGGCTCATAGGAGGGTTTTACTCAGAGTTGCTTTTCAGGTAGGTGTGAAAGGTCGTCACCAGGATGATGAGGTGAGATGTTCTGTCCCACCGTTTGGATTGAGGCATTTAGAATGGCTGAATTAACCTAAAGAAGCCCACCCTTTGTTGATGTTGCTCAGTCGTTCAGTCATGTCTGACTCTTTGTGACCCCATGGACTGTAACACTCCAAACTCCTTTGTCCTCCACTATCTCCCAGAGTTTTCTCAAATTCTAGTGCATTGAGTTGGTGACGCCATCCAACTATTTCATCCTCTGCTGCCCTCTTCTCCTTTTGCCTGCAATCTTTCCAGCATCTGGGTCTTTTCCACTGAGTCAGCTCTTCACATCAGGTGACCAAAGTATTGGAGCTTCAGCATCAGTCCTTCCAATGAATATTCAGGGTTGATTTCTTTTAAGATTGCCTGGTTTGAGTTCCTTGCAGTCCAAGGGACTCTCAAGTGTCTTCTCTAGCACCACAATTTGAAAGCATCAGTTCTTCAGCACTCAGTTTTCTTTATGGTCCAACTGTCACATCTATACATGACTACTGGAAAAAACTATAGCTTTGACTTTGTTGGTGAAGTGATATCTCTGCTTTTTAATATGCTGTCTAGGTTTGTCATAGCTTTCCTTCCAAAAAGTAAATGTCTTTTAATTTCATGGCTGCAGTCACCATCTGCAGTGATTTTTGGAGCCCAAGAAAATAAAATCTGCCACTGTTTCCCCATCTATTTGACATAAAGTGATGGGATCTTAGTTTTTTGAATGTTGAGATTTAGGCAAGCTTTTTCACTCTCCTCTTTTACCCCGATTAAGATGCTCTTTAGTTCCTTTCCACATTCTGCCATAAGGGTGGTATCATCTGCACATCTGACATTGTTGACATTTTTCCCAATAGTCTTGATTCCAGCTTGTGATTCATCCAGTCCAGCATTTTGCATGATGTACTCTGCATGTCAGTTTAATAAGTAGAGTGACAATATACAGTCTTGACATACTCCTTTCTCAGTTTTGAACAAATCCATTGTTCTGTGTCTGGTTCTACCTGTTGCTTCTTGACCTGCATACAGGTTTCTCAGGAGGCAGGTAAAGTAGTCTGGTATTCCTATCTTTTTAAGAATTTTTCCACAGTTTGTTGTGATCCACACAGTCAAAAGTTTTAGCATAGTCAATGAAGCAGATAAAGATATTTTTCTCAAATTCCCTTGCTTTCTCTATAATCCAGCGAATGTTGTCAATTTGATCTATGGTTCCTCTGCCTTTTCTAAATCCAGCTTGTACATCTGGAAGTTCTCAGTTTGTGTACTGTCAAAGCCTAACTTGAAGGATTTTGAGCATTACCTTGCTGGCATGTGAAATGAGCATAATTGTACAGAAGCTTGAACATTCTTTGGCATTGCCTTTCTTTGGGATTGAAATGAAAACTGAACTTTTCCAGTCCTGTGGTCATTGCTGAGTTTTCCAAATTTGCTGGCATATTGAGTGCAGCACTTTCATAGCATCATCTTTTAGGCTTGAAATAGCTCAGCGGGAATTCCATCACCTCCACTAGCTTTGTTCATAGTAATGCTTCCTAAGGCCCACTTAATTTCACACTCCAAGATGTCTGGCTCTACGTGAGTGACCATACCTTAGTGGTTATCTGAGTCATTAAGAATTTTTTTTGTAAAGTTCTTATGTGTATTCTTGCCACCTTTTCTCAATCTCTTCTGCTTCTGTTGGGTCCATACCATTTCTGTCCTTTATTGTGCCCATCTTTGCATGAAATGTTCCCTTGGTATCTCTAATTTTCTTGAAGAGATCTCCAGTCTTTCCCATTCTATTGTTTTCCTCTAATTGTATTATTCACTTAAAAATGCTTCCTTATCTCTGCTTGCTGTTCTTTGGAACTCAGCATTCAGTTAAGTATATCTTACCCTTTCTCCTTTTCCTTTCACTTATTTCATTTCTCAGCTATCTGTAAGGCCTCCTCAGATGACCATTTTGCCTTGCATTTGTTTCTTGGGGGTGATGTGGTCACAGTGTTACAAACTTCTGTCCATAGTTCTTCAGGCACTCTGTCTACCAGACCTAATCTCTTGAATCTCTTTGTCACCTACACTATAAAATCATAAGGGATTTGATTTAGGTCATACCTAAATGGTCTAGTATTTTTCCCTGAAGAAGTGAGTGAAGTGAGTGAAAGTCGCTCAGTTGTGTCTCATGGACTACACAGTCCATGGAATTCTCCAGGCCAGAATACTGGAGTGGGTAACCTTTGCCTTCTCCAGGGGATCTTCCCAACCCAGGGATTGAACCCAGGTCTCTTGCACTGCAGGTGGATTCTTTACCAGCTGAGCCACAACAGAAGCCCAAGAATACTGGAGTGGGTAGCCTATCCCTTCTCTAGTGGATCTTCCCGACCCAGGAATCGAACCGGGGTCTCCTGCATTGCAGGCGGATTCTTTACCAACTGAGCTATCAAGAAGACTTTCTTCAATTTAAGCCTGAATTTTGCAATAAGGAGTTCATGATTCGAGCCACATTGTAAAATTACTTCAGTTAAAACTTCTAGGTGTACCAGACTATTTAGCAATATGATAGGAATCTCCATCTCTGAATATATTTACTATGAATACTGTTTCTCTGATTTGTACAGCGTAACTCATCTGAAATAGCATTGTACGTTTCCATATAGATCTATGTATTTTAACATTAGTTCTGTAGGAATGATTAGCTAGATACTATTCAAGTTACACTGAACAAAATATGACTGACTTTACTCTGTGTAAGTCCCTAGGTCCATCAGTGTCCCTGGAAATGACACAATTTCATTCCTTTTTATGGCTGAGTAATATTCCATTGTGTATATGTGCCACATGTTCTTTATCTATTTCTTTGTTGATGGACATTTAGATTGCTTCCGTGTTCTGGATATTGTAAATAGTCCTGCAGTGAACGTTGGGGTGCATGTATCTTTTGGAATTATGATTTTCTCTACTCAATTCTGTGTGGTGACCTAAATGGGAAGTTAATCTGAAAAAGAAGGGATATATACATATACATATACTTGATTCACTTTGCAGAATCTAACAACATTGTAAAGCAACTGTACTCCAATAAAAATTTTTTTTTAATAAAATAAATTTAAAAATATTTCTTAGAGATTTTCCCAAAAAATGTAATATGAAGGTGGATGAATCTAATTTAATGAATTTTATCAAATCATATCATTAATTCAAACTTACTAATTATGTCATCAGAAAACCATTGCTCATAAAATTCAGATCATTCATTCACCTAACAAGCATGAAGTGAATGCCTGTTCTATCCTAAAGCACTGTTGTAGATTCTGGGCATACAGCAAGAGCCAAAACAAATAGGATTTCCATCTTTAGGGAAGAACAGCAATAAGCAAGCATACATTAAACAGTCATTTTTAAAATTTATTCACTGATTTTTTTTCCTACAGATTTAACTTAGATCCAGAATGCAAATGCACAGATGACAGACTCTGGGAAGCTCTTGAAATTGCTCAGTTGAAGAACATGGTCAAATCCCTACCAGGAGGTCTAGGTATATTTTCTAAATGATGCATTTATTTTTTTATATATGCAATGAATTCTACATATCTACATTTTATTCTAGAATTACATAATGCTAGCACTAAAGCTCCTTATATTTTTTTGTTTATTTGTGGTGCCCCAGCTTCTCGTTGCAGTGGCTTCTCTTGTGGAGTATGGACTTTAGGGTACGAGGACTTCAGTAGCCACAGCTCTCAGGCTCTAGAGCACAGACTCAGTAGTTGTGGCACATGGGCTTAGTTGCTCCATGGCATATGGAATCTTTCTAGATCCCTGATATGAATTCAGCCCCAGAGGTAGCATCAGTTCAGTTCAGTCACTCAGTCATGTCCTACTCTTTGTGACCCCGTGGACCACAGCACGCCAGGCCTCCCTGTCCATCACCAGCTCCCGGAGTCCACCCAAACCCATGTCCATTGAGTCAGTGATGCCGTCTCATCCTCTGTCGTCCCCCTTCTTCTCCTGCTCTCAATCTTTCCCAGTATCAGGGTCCTTTCAAATGAGTCAGCTCTATGCATCAGTTGGCCAAAGTATTAGAGTTTCAGCTTCAGCATCAGTCCAATGAACACTCAGGACTGATCTCCTTTAGGATGGACTGGTTGGATCTCCTTGCAGTCCAAGGGACTCTCAAGAGTCTTCTCCAACACCACAGTTCAAAAGCATCAATTCTTCAGTTCTCAGCTTTCTTTATAGCCCAACTCTCACATCCATACATGACTACTGGAAAAACCATAGCCTTGACTAGACGGACCTTTGTTGGCAAAGTAATGTCTCTGCTTTTTAATATGCTGTCTAGGTTGGTCATAACTTTCCTTCCAAGGAGTAAGTGTTTTAATTTCATGGCTGCAGTCACCATCTGCAGTGAGTGATTTTGGAGCCCCCAAAAATAAAGTCAGCCACTCTTTCCATTGTTTCCCCATCTATTTGCCATGTAGTATAATTTCTGGCAAATAATTGATGACAAAAACAAAAGAACAACATGAATAACAAAAAAAAACATGATTAATGAAACAAGGGAGAGTTCATGATATAGTCTTTCATTCATGAAAGTGAACATATGTAGTTTTGGACTTCTGTTTCCTTAAAATCTAAACTCATTTAAGAAAGCATCTGAAAGATAATGGTTGATATTCTAATTTTAATGCTTAATGTGTAATTGCCAAATTATATTGTTGCCATCTAATTTTTTTAATCAACCTACAGAATAAAATTATATTTATTTGTTAGCTTATTTGGGAAGTGGGGCCTACTCAAAAACAATACCTTTTATGATTATAATTCAGTCCGAAGGAAAAGACATCCACAACAAAGTGGAGACAGCATGTCTTTAAGGATAGTTTTATTGACCTTGCCAGTGTCAGACAATGGGAATAATTCCAGAGGTCTGGATGAACTTTCCCATAATAATTTTTGATGTCTTCTCTGGAAAGTCTAGCAAGCACTTGAAAAATAGAAAAGTCTACTTGAGATAATGCTTGTAGATCTTTTTCCTCTAGTGATTTTCAGACTCTGCCCTTCCCCCATTAGTACTTGGAAAGATAATTATATCTATATAGTTCTCCTCACCAATATGAGACCTGAATGTACCTGTTTTGAATTGTGGGCATAGTATTTGGGAATTATGGAACAGTGTAAGCAACAAGGAATTATATTTGTGCTCTGTAATTGAATGCTGTTTATGCTCATTGTCTTAATAAAGATTGCTTCAATGGTTTGGTAATGATCTGGTTCAGACCAGTTCTAGTGAAGAACATTAATCATTCCCTGCTTCCTTTTTATTTATTATATACATTAATATTTGGAGAATAGATGCATAGTCCCCAAGTATGAGAAATTATAAGAATTTGAAGCAGTGAGACAATAATCAATAGAAATTGCCCCTTGGAGCCCTACTACAATGTCTGTGAATCCTAATTAAATAGATCATCTTGGAAATAGAATTTAAGCTAAAATCACAGCAGTAGTTTATAAAATGTGGTTGAAAACCAGAAAAAGGAAACTATAATAAGGACATAATTCACTTATCCACGCAACAAGGTTTTCTATTCAGGTGCTATGTCAGATGTTCATTGATAAGTACTGGGGATTCATTAATAAGTCCTTACCGACTTGGAGCTTAGAGTCCAAGGGGATGATATAATGGAAAAAGAATAGGTATTGGAGTTGAGAATATTCTGTTTCTCACTAAGCTCTGCTACCAGTTATCTGTATGATCTTGAGCAAGTCACTTCATTTCTCTGGGCCTTGGATAATTACATCAGATAATTAAATCATCTTGAAGGTCTTCCAGTCTTTAAAATGTTTAACAGCATTTTATGTCCTACTATAAGGAGACAATTTACCACCTATTGTCAAACATAAGATGGCCCAGGATCATCTTCATTTTCCCCAAGTAAAGTTCCTCTTTGCTTTTTCCAAAAGGAAATCCTTGCATCAGTACAAAGTGATGTCAATAGGTTTTTCTAGGACATCATGTGTTTTCCACTATGTTGCCTAAAGGAAGTGTTAATATCATTTCTTTAGTGAAGTCCTTGCTTTTTTTTTTTTCATTTAGATGCAGTTGTCACTGAAGGTGGGGAGAATTTTAGCGTTGGACAGAGACAGCTGTTCTGCCTTGCCAGGGCCTTTGTCCGCAAAAGCAGTATTCTCATCATGGATGAAGCAACAGCTTCCATTGACATGGCCACAGTGAGTGCATCATCTAAGCTGCTTTCAAATGATGAGTCGAAGAAATGCATGCAAAAATTACACTTTATTTTTCCTGACTGCGTTCTGAATATCCTCAGGACTATTTTTTTCAGTGTCTTCTCAACTACCTCCTTGATCAACTAGTGGTATAGCACATTGAGAATTTCAGTAAAGTAGACTTGACTCTTGTTTTAAAGAAGCTCCTGTTGTCCAATAAGCATTAAATAAATTTGCCACTTTTTGATTAATCCTCAAGAGAGTAAAATTCCAGGGCTCAGTTGATGAGACTGCTGTCCTGTATTCAAGTATTCAGGTATGTTGCCATGGAAGTTCTAAAATGAAGTATGCAAATCACTGTTTAATAGAATCTATTGATAATCAAAACCAATCATTTTCTAATTGAATTTGAAGAGGGATTCACTAAATTAATACTGGCTAGAATTAATAATGGCCCTCTCAATGTATTGATGGTAATAAGGCAGAAACTTTGCCTTTTGAAAGAGATCATTTAGAAGTGTCAAATAAGGGGAGGGATAAATTAGGAGTTTAGGATTAACATACACACACTACTATATATAAAATAGATAATCAAAAAGGACCTACTGTATAGCACAGGGAACTATACTCAGTATTCTGTAACAACCTAAAAAGGGAAAAAATCTGAAAAAGAATGGATATATGTATATATATATAACTGAATCACTTAGCTGTATACTTGAAACTAACACATTACAAATCAACTGTACTCCAATATAAAATGAAAATTAAAATCTTAAAAAACATCAAATATGTCCAAGAAGGATCTGTGTGAAGGTTGTGACTGAGTGGGGAAAATGTCACATTGAACTGCAAATGTTATGAGACATCTATTAATGTTGTTCTTATAAAAGTGAACTTGATATTAAAAGTTTGGCATCAGAAAGGACAAAAAAACCCCATTTCTTTTCTTGCTGTATACTTTAGATTGAATAAAACTATCCAGAAAGATGAAACAGCTTCAAGATTATTAAGAGCCAATTATATATGGAGATGTTAATTTGACATCATTTCTTTGTATTGTTGTTGTTATTGTTCAGTCACTAAGTTGTGTCCAACTCTTTGTGATCCCATGAACTGCAGCACGCCAGGCTTCCTTCTTTGTATTAAGACTAATTAGTTAAACTGGGCTTCCCTGGTGGCTCAGTGGTAAAGAATCCGCCTGCAATGAAGAGACAAAAGACACGGGTTTGATCCCTGGGTAGAGAAGATCCCCTGGAGGAGGAAAGGGCAACCCACTCCAGTATTCTTGCCTGGAAGATCACATGGACAGAAAGAGGCTGGTGGGCTACAGCCCATAGGGTCGCAAAGAATCAGACCGAGCAACCGAGCATGGAGCGCAGTCAGTTAAAGTATCCATACAAAGTTATAAATCTTCGCCAAGTTAAGATAATTTAAAGCAATGAAGTTGTTTCTAATGAAGCCATTTTGCTAAATCTAACTACATTAAAATTAGTTTTAATTACTAAGTTCTTATAACATTGTTGGTTATTATAAGGATAGTACTGCCTCAACAGAAACGAGAGAGAGAGAGAAAAGGGGAGAATAAGAATGAATTAATTGGCAATAAGTCATGTGATTGGAAGAAATAACAATTTCACATAAAGACTTCGGTAACTGAGCCTTTTTATTGAGGAGAGAGGAAGAATCTTTACCTCTGATATCTTTTAAAATATAATAACAATTTGGACCATAAAGAAGGCTGAGTACTGAAGAATTAATGTTTTCAAACTGTGGTGCTAGAGAAAACTCTTGAGAGTCCCTTGGACAGCAAGGACATCAAACCAGTCAATCCTAAAGGAAATCACCCCTGAATATTCATTGGAAGGACTGACGCTGAAGCTCCAATATTTTGGCCACCCGATGTGAAGAGCCAAGTCATTGGAAAAGACCCCAATGCTGGGAAAGATGGAGGGCAAAAGGAGAAGGGGACGACAGAATATGAGATAGTTGAATGGCATCACTGACTCAATAGACATGAGTTTGAGCAAACTCAGGGAGATAGTGAAGGACAGGAAGCCTGGCATGCTGCAGTTCATGGGGTCGCAGAGTCAGACGTGACTTGGCGACTGAACAACAACAATGGTTTGTGGTGGGAATAAAAATAGTTCCTGCCAGGAATGTACTTTTATGGGTCAAAATCCAAATTTTTGGCATGTATTTTATTTTCTCCTTTTCTGACCCCAAACTTAACACTGTTTTAGGGTTTTATTAGTTTTGAATACATCCTTTTTGTGGCATAACCTTAAGTGAGCATTTCCCCACCCATTTGGTTTCATTTTCCTCATTCATTTTCCTGGCACTAAATCTATCAGTCATTCCTAGTTAATCAGCTGAGTTTTCTTTGCATTTTGAAGACACTACAGAACCCAGCCTGAGCTCCCTGCTGGGCACTGCTCCCTGTTAGACCTTCTGCAAAAGATAGGAGTGAGAATTCTCAGAAGAGATTGGGCATGTTGAAGCATTGTTCTTGGGGACAAAATACTTTGGCAACGGAAAGGAGTCCAGAGAAAATTCAGACTCTATTTTTATTTTTCGGCAGGAAAACATTTTGCAGAAAGTGGTCATGACAGCTTTTGCAGATCGCACCGTTGTTACAATAGCTGTAAGTATAGGAGACAACGTTGATTTACTCCTCTTTGGTTGATTTTTGAAGATTCAGTATTCTTTATTTGGGGGCAATTAAAAGTATACTTATGTTAAATCATGTATTTCTCTGCTAATATTTCTGTATCTGTGCAAAAAAAAGAAAAAAGAAATTGCCATGCTTTGAAAGCCGTTACACTGTTTTTTCCCCCAAGCTGTCTGCTCTACTTTCCTCTCCTAGTTCACAATGAAAGAGCATTCTAAATTTCAGAATTCCAGCAGGTCATGGCCTGTACTATTTCACCAGATATAGACGGTAGTTCATATGGGATCATTCTTGTTTGAATAATCGAATTGTCTGATGATCAGTTTCAGAAGCAAAATTCATCAGTTTGATTGCTGATACTATTTACACTTAATTTCTGTGTTCCTGTTTACTCAGCTGTTTGCAAGAAGAAGTCCATGAGTTACCAGCAGATACATTCTCTGATTTTTAGATAGCCCCGATCAAATTGAAGACTTGCTTAAGTGTTTGCAATGCTCATTACAAGTTACTGCAAAGAGGCCATGGTTTTGTCTCTGCCTCTTTGCAGATGGATGGGTTCTTACTGACAGGCTTAAAATTTAACAAGAGTCTTTTTAAAATGAATTGCTTGGACATTTCCCTCTTGCTGATTCTCTTCTCTCCTTTCCATTTTTCTTTTCTCTCCAGCACCGTGTCTCTTCTATTTTGGATGCAGGCCTTGTGTTAGTCTTATCTGAGGGTATATTAGTAGAGTGTGATACTGTTCCAAACTTGCTTGCTATCAAGAATGGCCTCTTTTCCACTTTGGTGATGACCAACAAGTAAACATCAGGAGCTACCCTGCCAAGTATCCCATTCTCTGGTAGTTATCTTAGCCACCTCCCCCACAGTAAGGCAAGAAGAATGCAGATTAAAGGGGAGGGATGGGGGAGGGAACTAACTACAAGGTGTTATTATACAAATCAGCTCAACTGGGTGCTTCTGTTGTGCTCAATACCAATGAGGCATTTGTATATATTTTCAAATGTATCAATGCACCAGAGAGAGTGGTCTGGCAGAAAGTGGCCTTGACAGCTTTTGCAGACCACATCATTGTTACAATAGCTGTAAGTATGAGAGAAAACCTGTACCCAGATTTACCTCTGTCCTAAGGACCAATTTCACTATTCCTTGGAGATGTTCTGTAACTGTCCTTAAAGTACCAAACACATTCCTTACCTGCCCTGAAGAATGCCTTGCTCAATAATTAAGTTTTTAACAGTTGAGTCATAGGAGTTATGTGTGAAGTGCTCGCTTGTTCTTCTGGTTTTGTGAATGATGCATGGGAGAAAGTATACCCTTAGGACTTCCCTGGTGGTCCAGTGGCTAAGACTCCATGCTCCAAATGCAGGGGACCCAGGTTCAATCCCCAGTCTGGGAACTAGATCCCATATTCTGCAACTAAGAGTTTGCATGCCACCACTAAAGATTTAGTGTTCTGCAATGAAGGTCAAAGATCTTGCCTGCTGCATCACAGACCCAGTGCAGCCAAACAAATAAATAAAAATATTAAAAAAGAAAGAGCACCCTTGAAGTGCAGCTTTCTCAAGGTAGCTGGAAACGATTCCCCATCAAGGCTCTCCTTCTGTAAACTGGGCCTAAGTAAAGAGATAGCACTTTATTTTACTTTCCCAGTGAACTCTCTGATTCCTTCTGCCCTGGAGTTGCCTACAGGGAGACTTGAAAAAATTGGCTAACTTGAAAAACAATTTTATAACATTTTCAAGAATTTTCTCACTGGAGAGATGAGGAGAAAGAGCTTCCTGTTCCCCTTAAAAAGGCAGGTTAAAAGGGGGAAAAGCAGACCCTTGCCTACTCCGAAGACTATTTTTATCTGCTCTGCATGAAGCATGGTACTGATGGGTGGTCCCATTTAGTTGACAGCTGGAAGATTTCTTGAGCATAATTTGTATTTTCACCAAAAAATTATGTTATCTCACCTGATTTCTGCTTTTCTACATTCACTGAATACTTTTCTGTTTACTTGTATGTCTTTCACCCATTCTTCATTTCAAGACCACCCAGTGTGGAGGTGGCCACCAGGATACCAAGAGCTCTTTCCCTAGACACAGAAAATTGTGGGAAAGGACCAAATGCTGTGGGCCCAGCTCCTTTTACCAGGCTCATAAGAGGGAGAGCCAGCTTGTGGTACATCCCTTGTATAATACTCCTCAACTCTGTTAAAAGCTTCATCAGCTCTGTTGGGCTTTCCTGGTGGCTCAGTGGAAAAGAATCCACCTGCCAATGCAAGAGATGTGGGTTCCATCCCTGGGTTGGGAAGATCCCCTAGAGAAGGAAATGGGAACCCACTCCAGTATTCTTACCTGGGAAATCCTATGGACAGAGGAGCCTGGTGAGCACAGTCAGTGGGGTTACAAGAGTCAGTCATGACTTAGCAGCTAAACAACAACAACTATTAATTGGGGCTTTGCTGGTGGTCCATCAGTTAAAACACTGACTTCTAACAAAGAGGGCACAGGTTCGATCCCTGGTCAGGAAGCTGTGATCCCACACACTGTGTGGTGCAGCCAATAAATAAATAAATGAATTTATTAAAGATTAACTATTTTTCCTTCCCTGATAAAAGTTGTTCTGTTACTTTTGTTAACTGCCACTGAAAATTGTGGAATAACTTTAGAAGATAACTTTCTCAGGTTTCTAAAAATAAGTCCTCATGCCCCCAAATAGTGAGTGTCGTTTTTTAATGGAAGTAATCTATACTTCAGTCTTGTTGAGGTTTATTTCTCTGGAGCATTTTGAAAATTTCACCAATGCTATGGCAGTTGACACTTTGTCAAGCAGAAATTAATTTGGAGTAATGGAATAAACACCAGATATATTTACTTCTATAGGCCAAGTTTTTCAACAGTTTAAAAAATAAGCATCATTTTAGAATATCAAGGCAATATTTATAATATCCTACTTATGGGTTTGAAAGCTAAGTTTTTAAAAATATCTGTAATATGGTTGTTGAAGAGCTAATTTTTTGAAGGAAATGAACAGCAGGCATTAAACAGCTCATTAAGTTTATTTTTTTCTAAATGCCTGGAGATGCAAGGGGCTCTGGCCCTTTCTTAAAGATAAAAATTGTCTTTTAAAGTGTGATATCTTAAATGTATACCATTGTTTGTCACTCAGTCATGTCCAACCCTTTGCAACCCAATGGATTGTAGTCTGTAGCCCGCCAGGCTCCTCTGTCTGTGGAATTCTCCAAGTGAGAATACTGGAGTGGGTAGCCTTCTCTAGGGGATCTTCCCCACCCAAGAATCAAACCCAGGTCTCCTGCATTGTAGAAAGTTTCTTTACCATCTGAGCCACCAGGGAAGTCCATTAATTACCAGTATTTAGTGAATGATACAGGTTTGTCTATGGATGTTGAAACTAGTGGTGCATGTTCTAAGCTGGCATCTTAATCACACTCCATATATGTGCTGCTTTGCCCCTTAGTTGTGAGTTCCAACCAAGACTGCTTGCTTTTCTGAAAGCACGAACACTGAGTCTACCCCGTCTTCAGGTCCAGGGCAAGGGATAAGCTTTTGCTTTGGGGACCACCCTAGGTTGAACTTTGGGTTGTTACTAACGTACATTACTAAAACAAATTCCACCTGTTTATTTGTGCTTGTAAAATATGGCTCCTAAGAGATTTGAAATTACATGTGCCGCCTATTTGTGGCTCACATTATATTTCTATTGGACAGCACTTCACTTAGCAAGAGTAGCGAAAAGGCTCACTGCAAAGACAAAGTGCTGAATTATTTTTTCATGCATTATCTCATTTGATCCTCACCACCATTCCCCAGCCATCATTTTACTGATGTGAAAGTTAAGGCATACGAAAGTTAAGTTTGTTGCTCAAGATTGCACAGCTAACAGGTGGGGAAACCAAAACATGAATCCATTCTGACTTTGGAGCTTGCCTTCTTAACCATGACGCTAATAATGACAGGTGAACAACCCTCTGAAGGACCAGATTCTCCCAACAAAACATCTTATGGCAGAATAGAAGTAGCTCCGAAGTGAATGAGCCTGGTTTGGATGTTGATTCTGCTACTTACTATCTGTGTGATCTGATTTTGCTTTATTTATTATGAACCCCAGTGGTCTCGCCCATAAAGTGGAGAGATTAACACCCACATTTGTGGAATGTTCTGATGATTAACAAGTATGCGTGCAGAGTAGCTAATGTATAATATACGTTCAGGAAGTGGTAATTTTTATTATGATTAATTACTAACACTAGAGCTTCTTTCCAAAAGGTACCATGTGGGAAGAGAAAATGACTGAGTGGGTGGCAGTGATCTCTAAAGACAAAAAGACAGCATGCCGACCTAAAGTCTTGGATAATACCTTTTAACACTGCATGCCAGAATGGACTTCCCCATATGGTTTTCTCAGAATTAAACCACCTTCCGGGGTTCTTCAAATTGTGTGTTATCCCAGGGAATTAGTTGACTTTACTAAAAAGCTAATTTTAGTCTAGACTAAACTATAACCAAACTGTTTCACAGTGACTCTTCTTATCATTTAATTATTTGACAAACATTTGTTATCCTATTCACAATTCCGTAAAAATGATGAAACTACTATATTAGGTACACTCAATCTAATACAGCCTATATAATACCCAGTCATACTGGCTGGTGTTTAAAAGTATGTAAATAAATCATACTTTACATAAGAAAGAAAAAGAAGGGCTGTGCCCAAGATAAAGAAATGCCCTTATATAAACAGTGAAATATGCATTTTCCATTGCTTTGGCTGGTGCCCTGAAATTTATAACGAATACATTTATTCTTTTCTCACTCACAGCATCGGGTTCACACTATTCTGACGGCAGACCTAGTTATTGTGATGAAGCGAGGAAATATTTTAGAATATGACACTCCAGAAAGTCTCTTGGCCCGGGAAGATGGAGTATTCGCTTCTTTTGTTCGTGCAGACATGTGACGGAATGTCTTAAAACCATGCTTGTATTTAAAACAATGCTCTCATAACCTACGTAATGGATCATCAGGTTGGCCTTTGGAAAGTGGCATCTTAAACTTTTACACACTTTTGTGAAGTTTAATTGTTATGTTGTGGAATTTGTAATTAGTAACAGTATCACTGTACCAGTGAATATTGCATTTTCTATGTTGATGTTTCTTCTTCCTGTTTTCTTTGTTTTGCTTTGTTTTCTAATCTGTGACTGCTTATTATGTTCATTACTGATGTTTTTCTAAAGATTAAGCCACATTATCTTTCAGAATAACAGATTGTATTCAAACAAGTAAGCTACTCTAAGTGGTAAATCAACTACTCTGCTTAAGTCTGGAAAATATCTCTCAAGCATAGAAGTTACAATTAGCATTCAGTATTATTTTACTCTTATTTGTAAGAATATATTTCCTTTTTGTTGGTGTTTCCAGATATTATTGGAAGAAATTAAAAGGAGGACAGGTTTTCTAATCAGTTAGAAAATGAAACACTCAAATTCATTATTTACTGTCTAAGAATATGTTCTGTATTCATCAACATTAATAATACTGACATTTCTTATAGAAGTCTCTTCTTTTTCATCTAAATTGTTTCTGGTCACCAAGACTAGAAGTTATTATTACATTTATAATAACTCTGTAAATCTAAAACCTTCATTAGAATGATCATAAGAGTTTGAAATTTTGACAAATTATACCCAAGGTTCCATTTTTCCTTATCTAGTAAGAGGAGGGTTCTTAAGATATCGAGCATAATGTGCTTTTCCAGACTGAAGTTCAAAAAGTAATAAGGCTCAACTCTTCAGTGACAGGTCACTACAGCTTTCCATGGTTTAATTAATCATTAGATGTGTTTATGATCCTCAGGCCCTAAAATTCCACATTATTCAAGACTGGAGAGCATAAGCAAGTGGCCTTATTTTCACAGGATATATCTATACAAACATACATACATATATAAACATAGGTAGACATACAAATATATGTAAAACATGTGTCCATTTCTAGGTGGAAGAATGCCTATTTCTTTTAAACAGTTATGCCCAGTGGTGTAACACAGGTATATATTTGCTCCTGCTCTAATTTTAATGTACATGTAAAGACTGTATCAAAATTTTATTCTGATTTTAATGTGCATATTCAAGGTGCATCAAAATTTATGAGATATTAGTGTCATGCTTTCTTAAATGTAAATTAATAAACTGAAAAAACACTAAAAGTTACTTTCACTGTCATGCTAGCAGCCAAAGATTTATACTGCAGTTTTGTACATTTGATACATTTGTATCAATATTGATTTTCACGTGAGGGTCTATGTGCATTGTAAGGTTTTGAAGAATTATAACTGATGGAAAAAGAGAATGTAAGCTCCCTTTCTATAGTTCCTGTGTTCAGTTTATTGTATTGTGTATTCATGCTTGGAAAATTTGTATACTTACTCATGCAGAACTCATGCCTGGGCCTTCACCTGAATTTAGAGTCTTGATGTTTACCTAAAATAAGTTTCACAAGGATGGACAAAAGTGTTCTATGTTACTTAGTACAAACTGTCAACTCATTAGATATATAAAACTTCATTAGGAGAAAAATCCTCTTAATTCTTCCCTGAAAGTTAAACAGAACAGAATCAATAACTGTTGATTTGATCTTCAAAATATTTTCTAAATGTTCCACCAATCTACTCAAAGTGTTTCTGGCATGCAAATGCTTTGTAAGGTTGAATTTACACAGTGTTTTTTTTACCAAGTTATATATTCAGTATCACAGAGAAAGGGCTTCCCAGGTGGCAATAGTGGTAAAGAATATACCTGCCTAGGCAGGAGACTTAAGAGATGCGGGTTCAATCCCTGGGTTGGGAAGATCCCCTGGAGGAGGGCATGGCAACCCACTCCAGTGTTCTTACCTGGAGAATCCCATGGACGGAGGAGCCTGGTGGGCCATGATCTATCAGGTCACAAAGAGTCGGACATGACTGAAGCTTCTTAGCACCCACACACAAGAGAAATGAGGATTTACCCACTGAAATAATCCCTCATGATATCTGTAAATATTCTACTGCTATCCAGTCAGTGTCAGCAGAAGCATATCTAATTACACTAAACAGAAAATCACATTTACCATTTTTACAACTCAGTGGTCACTGGTTTCCTCATAACTTGCAGTCACTTGAGTGTTTAATTGTTTACAAAACTAAATTGACTGAGTAAAGTCAAGGATGATCTCTTAAATTGTTTAATCATGTATTGTGTTATATGTATGATCTATTGAATATGGAAATGATTCATCTTGAGATAATTTTTTATTAAATAGATATATATCTATAAAAGAAGACCAGCCTTTACCTAATCAAATTTCACATCACAGATTTTACATTTAATTAACCAAATCATTTTTACCAATTTTAATTCCTTAATATTTGTGAAGAGCAACAAATACCTAAAGCTTTATATGGAAATAGGTTACTGATAATGTTAAAAGAGAAAAACATTCTTCTCTTAAAGGACTGTGCACCCTCTACTTTTAAGTGCTCCTTGTGATCAATTTAAAAGCCAACTTTGCTCTAGATTAGATAGATAAGAGAAGATCCTCCTAAGTAACTGATTCTTGAGGTCTGGGACCATGTCTTATTTGTCTCTGTGCCCTTGGCATATAATACAAGTACCTGAACCACAGCAGGCCCTAATAAGGATAGTTGATTGGTCCATTGATTAATTTTACCACTAGCCATGTGCCTATAACTTTTCACTGTCTGTGTTGTGTTTCTTCTACTATGAACATATGCTGCTTTGGTATTATATAATAAATTACTTTTTTTGTTTGCTTAATTAAAAAGGATGATTACTTTTTTACTTACAGTACCATTGGGCATCAACCAGGACTGATCAATAGATGTAAATTAACACAAGTTGACAAGACAGTACTTGATTATGCTTTGATGGTTTTGTTTCACACCTGTCACAGTCATAGACTCAGTTTTATATATAGGCTTTTGGGAAGTTTTCATTAAGTGGAACAACTATATCTATAAATTTTGTTAATCTCTAATTAAATAGTTGGATGTCTATAAAGCTTCTCCAAGGTTTATTGATTAGTCTTTATGGTTGTCTTCCAATATATGTTAAATGACTATTTTGTACTCCATTCTTTGGAGGTCTATGATTTATAATATTTTAATATTCCCTAATTAATCCCTTATCCAAAGTTAAATGCAATCTTCTAATCTTAGCCTTTGATAATAAGAAACTGTAGCCAAAAGGCTATATTCTGTAACTTGAGTTTAATTTTTTTCTTTAGTAACTACACATCATTTTCAAGATTTGCTCAGGCATTAGTAAGATTCCTCTAGCTCAAACTCCCCAGTGAAAGGGTTTATACCTGTATTTCTAGCAAATGCTTCCAGATGAGATTCGTAATTAGCCAGGTTTGGGAATCATCAGTCTACCTTGGTCACCACTCTTATTTCTTTTTATTGTGCATAATGTGGGGCCATAAGATGCTGGAGGTGATATTCACTTGCTTCCTAGCTTTGCTGACATGAACCTATCCTAGACTGCCAGAACAAACCTCTTGGTGTCATTGAATCAACTGCCTTAGTTCCGTCATAAAGGAAACAGTGAAATGAACTGAATCTCAGCTGAGAAGATATAAACAGGGATCCTGAACACTGTTTTACTTTGTGTTGTAGTTTAATCAACAATGTGTGATCTAAAGGGGAATTTTTTGGAAAAAAGGCAAGCTTTTTTTACCCACATCTGAATTCCCTGTTGAGTTATTTGCATGTTACCCTATTGAGTTTGAATTCATGTTTTCAAATGTTTCTAGTGTGTAAATGTGAGTAGTTTAGGTTTCACTATTGATGTTTCACAATGTGGAAGGATGGCAAATTACCTGTGATGATTATTCCCCTTGCCACCTTCACATTTTTCCTGTTGGTATCATCATCACTGACATATGAAAGTTTATATATTAATTCTACATATTCACTACATGAGATTTAAATTTTTTTTCTTTTTCTATGGGCTGGAGCTCATTTCCCTTAGTCATTTGCACTATGGTCACCAATGCCCTTGCTAAATTGACAAAGATCAAGGGAGCCATACCTGGCTAAATAAGTTATTTGGCTCCAAGAAAAAAGCCTTCTGGGATCTCAGTGCTATCAGCCATCACAGACCATCTCAAATATACGCTGCACATTAATGGCAAAAAGCATTGCTTTCAGATGGTGATTTCTATCGCTTAATCTGCCCTTGGCATAAAATAAGTAGCTTGTCCATAAAACAACAGTACAACACTGTTGCTGCTTTGTTTGCATTTTTCCCTTAGACAGGGCTACAGTATGTGCTATTTATACACGTTATCAATTTTAATTAACTGAAAGACTATTGACCTTTAGTATTATCAGGGCCATGTGGATTTAGGCCAACGGTTTCATATCTAAGTATTTGCACTTTGACTAATAGTAGTTGGAACTTTGTTCCAATGCTACTTAAGCAAAGAGCATGCTTCCTTGATAGCTCAGCTGATTAAAAAAAAAGTCACTCAGTTTTGTCCGACTCTTTGCAACACCATGGACCGTAGCCCACCTGGCTCCTCCGTCCATGGGATTTCCCAGGCAAGAATACTGGAGTGGGTTACCATTTCTTTCTCCAGGGGATCTTCCTGACTCAGGGATCGAACCCGGGTCTCCCACATTGCAGGCAGACGCTTTAACCTCTGAGCTACCAGGGAAGCCCTAATAGTAGTTGGAGCTTTGTTCCAATGCTACTTAAGCCAAGAGATGCTTCCTTGATAGCTCAGCTGGTAAAAAAAAATCCGCCTGCAATGCAGGAGACCCCAGTTTGGTTCCTGGGTCAGGAAGATCCCCTGGAGAAGGGATAGCCTACCCACTGCAGTATTCTTGGGCTTCCCTGGTAGCTCAGATGGTAAAGAATCTGCCTGCAATGCGGGAGACCTGGTTCAATCCTTGGGTTGGGAAGATCCCCTGGAAAAGGGAATGGCAACCCACCCTAGTATTCTTGCCTGGAGAATTCCCCAGACTACAGTCCATGGGGTCACAAAAAGTTGGACATGACTGAGTGACTTTCATAATTTTTTTAAAAATTCCTCATCTCTTTCTTTCAGATACCCGAAATATTCATCAATCCTTTGAAAGCGGGCATAAATAGAATCCATCAACGAAGTTTACTGTTAACCCTTTTTCACAGGTTACAATCTATCTCCTGACCTCTCAATGTGGTTGGGTGCTCCCTTCCACACACAAACATCTGAGTATGTCCATTCACATCTATCTTAACTGCCTTAAAGAAGTGTATAGTTGCTATAAATTTTTACAACACATATTAACATGATGCATATATAAGTCAAATACAAGTGTTTAGAATGGATGGCAGAAAGATGCTTATAATTATAATAGTCTGTAAGTATTTCTTCTAGACAAAAGAGTCACCTTTAGGAATAAGTTTTTGATAAATTGTGAGATGTATTTCCACACTTGGTCTTAGCCAAAAGGCTGACAAGAAGTGATAATAAAATGTATTTTCAGTTATAAGAAGTTCAACCACATTTTCTACCAGTTTTTAAGATAACAGTGGCAATACACTGCTGAGTTATAGTGGGCAGGTTCTTTTTAGTTCAACAAAGGGATGATCATAATTGTTATTGGGACTTCTCTGGCAGTCCAGTGGTTAAGTCTCCAGGCTTCCACTGCAGAAGGTCATGGGTTCAGTCTGGTTGGGGAACCAGGATTCCATATGCCATATCATGTGGTCAAAAACTTTTTCTAAATAAATAAATAAAACAATTTTTATGAAAGCTAGTGAACTGGGCATTTTTGAAAGATGGTTGTCCCCCTACTAAAGGAGGTTGCATGAAAATAAACTTCAGTTATTTCATCTTGATTGATGGCATTTGTTTAGTGTCTGCTAAGTGTCACTTTTGAGTGATAAAGTGTGATTCAGAGAGATTATTTGTCAGAGTAGTACAAAGCTTTCTAGTATATTAAAACTAGTATAAAATCTTCTGAAATAACTATTTTCCAAACTTTTTTTCTGAAAAAAATTTTTCTAAAAAGACTATTTTTTTTTCTTTGTACTTAAGTTACAGATGAGAAAACTGAGGCTAGAAGGTAAATGAATTACTCCCAAATAGTTGATTTAATCATTGATTTCCGTCTGACTCCAGAGATGGCACTTCTGTTTTTGGAAGTATATATTTTTATTAAGAAAATAGTTTTTACTAAGAAATAGTGTATTATATCCTATATAATAAAGCAAAATTATCTCTAAATTTTATATCTAAAGTGGCAAATTAAATAAAAAATTAAAATTGAGCTTAAAAAAAAAATTGAGCTCCAGAGATGGTATTTGCAAACATCAGAGTAGGGAGTAGTAAGATCGGGGTGTATTGAAGAGAGACTCATGCATTAGAATCTAGGAAATGCAGAATTATTGGGCCTCAGCAAGAGTGAGGATGGGGTCAGGTCTAGAGACTCTCCACTCTCTAATACTATTTCTGTCAAGTTTCTCGGCTTCATTCTTCCCTTCAGGGCTGTCATCTCCACCCCTCTGTCCACTCCTTCCTCATCTTGCATGTAGACTTTCTGACCATTCTTATCTCAGATGAAATCTTGGAGCACCTTCACCCACAGTCACTTTCTTCACTTCTCAGATTGTCTATTTCCAAGTATCAAGCAAGGAATCTCCTATGTCCTTTGATCTTACATATGACTGGACAAATTTACACGACTTCACTTTGGGTCAAGGATCAACCTTTGGCCTAAAAAGCTGTGGCCAGAAGGTCTGAGCCAGTTGAAGGTAATATCTTCTGCTGAGGGGAGTTTCACAGTCTGGAGAGTGACATGAAAATCAGAATACAAATTCAAATCACAGCCAGTAGTTCCAGAAAAAAAGAGTGATGGGACTGGGCTGGCTACTGATTCTTCGGGGGAAAAAAAGAAAAATTGGAAAAAGGGAGGGAGAGTCATTCTT